ATTTTATAAAATAGTTTGCAGAGCCATTCGTTCAGCAAAACTGACATATACATACATTTCGGTTTTAAGGCAAAATTAAATGTATTTGTCGGGAAAAAAATATTCCTTTATGGCCACTAGGTGGAGCTGAGGAGCATATAAAAATATACCTTTTTATGGCCACTAGGTGGAGCTGAGGAGCATATAAAAATGTACCTTTTTATGGCCACTAGGTGGAGCATATAAAAATATACCTTTTTATGGCCACTAGGTGGAGCTGAGGAGCATATAAAAATATACCTTTTTATGGCCACTAGGTGGAGCTGAGGAGCAAAGGAAAGAAGTTTTTATTTTATATGCTCCTCAGCACCACCTAGTGGCCATAAAAAGGTATATTTACTATGCTCATCGGCTCCACCTAGTGGCCATCAATAAATATTTATACAGTAAACTCCCCCATTAACCGGCATTCAAGCAAACAGAAAAAAAAAAAAATTATGACCAATTTTTTTGGGCCAATTGCTTGATAGACATGTGCACACTAAAAAAATGTTGTTAGTAAATGAATACAGTGAGGGGAATTTATCAAAAAGGGAGCAGTCAAAATCTGAAGCAGCTGTGCCTGGCAACCAATCAGCTTCTCCCTTTAATTTTCAAAAACTCTACTGAACAAACTGAAGAGAGAAACGGATTGGTTGCCCTGGGCAACTGCACCAGATTTGGTCGGCTTCAATTTTGATAAATTCCCCCCCAGTATATCTCTGTTTACATCTTGCTGTGGCCGACAGCTAGATTCCTCAGCTTTCAGGTGAATGTAAACAAGCAGTGGGTGTGTGCAATAGCCAGCTTGCTATTAGCTATGGCAATTTTAAATAGCCAATAGCAGAATCTAGGCAGTAGATAAGGGGCGGGCTGTTTGAGAGTTAATAGTAACTCTCAAGCAACCAGAAACTAGTTATCCAGCATCTACCGATCCCCATGGGTGCCAGATAGCTGAAAGTTTACTGTATTCCCTATGCTCCACCAAGTGGCCATCAATAAATATGTATTTCCTATGCTCCTCAGCTCCACCTGGTGGCCATCAATAAATATATATTTCCTATGCTCCTCAGCTCCACCTAGTGGCCAGCAATAAATACTTATTCCTTATGCTCCTCAGCTCCACCTAGTGGCCATCAATACATATTTATTCTATATGCTCCTCAGCTCCACCTAGTGGCCAGCAATAAATACTTATTCCTCATGCTCCTCAGCTCCACCTAGTGGCCAGCAATAAATACTTATTCCTTATGCTCCTCAGCTCCACCTAGTGGCCATCAATAAATACTTATTCCTAATGCTCCACCTAGTGGCCATCAATAAATACTTATTCTATATGCTCCTCAGCTCCACCTAGTGGACATACTTATTCCTTCTGCTCCTCAGCTCCACCTAGTGGCCAGCAATAAATACTTATTCTATATGCTCCTCAGCTCCACCTAGTGGACATACTTATTCCTTCTGCTCCTCAGCTCCACCTAGTGGCCAGCAATAAATACTTATTCTATATGCTCCTCAGCTCCACCTAGTGGCCATAAATACTTATTCCTTATGCTCCTCAGCTCCACCTAGTGGCCAGCAATAAATACTTATTCCTTATGCTCCTCAGCTCCATCTAGTGGCCATAATGTGGTATTTTCCACATGAGAAATTGTATCCTATTCGCCCAGGACATATGTAGAGATCAGTATCGCAAAACGAACGTCCTGTAAATCTTTTACAGATACACCCCTATGTGTATACCCAGAAGTTAGAAAGCTCTGCTTCATAAGTGTGATTTATAAACCGCGTTAAAGACAATAAAAAACCCAATATTCTTTTTTTTTTCTTTATTCCAAATTGCAATCATATTGAATTAAAAGATTGTAATGAACAGTTACAGCCGAGCAGTGATTTATGGCGGATAATGTGTTGTTGGTTTGTTCTGTACACAATATAAGACAATATTAGACAAATACAAAAAGTTTTTTTTTAAAACACCAAATTAAAAATAAAAAAAATCTTTTTTTTAAAAAACCCCCCTCAAAATAAAACTATAAAACTTAAAGTATAAAAAATTCTGACGATTTGCAGACAAAATAAAGATTGTATCTTCTCTCTCTTCCATAATAATATAGATATGTACATCAAAAATAGAATTCCAGGAAGGCATCGGATTGTTGCTATGAAAAAAAACGTCCTCCATAAATGTGCGTACGTCTCCGTATTAAGACCAAGGGAATCTTTTCTTTTTTAAATAGTCGCGGTACCTGGAGAGGAAGAGAGGAGGAAGGTGAGAATTCAGCCGTCTCCATACATTGCATCTAAAGAGAATATAAACCCCAACAATGAACGTCTCTGATTGGCTCTTTTTCCGTCTGTAAAATAAACCATTGAAAGTGTTTTCTTATTTCTGTTCAATAGACGCCAATAATAATAAAACCTTGTGATCCCGAAATCTAGTTCTGTCTGATAGAACTGCAGAATACACCCCACCCTATGTTATGGAAAGGTGTACTGTAGTCCAAACACACTTCCTGTCCTAGGGTGGCAATGCTGCTTCTCTATAAATTAAGTACACTGATTGATCGTTGTCACCCTTGGACAGGAAGTGTGTAAAAACGAAAGAATAGACATAAAGAGTACACTGATGGCTCGTTGTCACCTTAGTTCTAGCACACTCTTCTGTCCTAGGGTGACAACACAGCTTCTCAATAGATACAGTACACTGATTGATCGTTAGTTCTAGCACACTTTCCTGTCCTAGGGTGACAACGCTGCTTCTCAATAGATACAGTGCACTGATTGATCATTGTCACCCTAGGACAGGAAGCATGTTAGAACTAAAGAATGCCATCCACCCCCTGTTACAGAAATGAGGAGAGGGGGAAGGGTCCTGCAGTTCTAGCACACTCTTCTGTCCTAGGGTGACAACACTGCTTCTCAATAGATACAGTGCACTGGTTGATCGTTGTCACCCTAGGACAGGAAGCATGTTAGAACTAAAGAATGCCATCCACCCCCGGTTATAAAAATGAGGGGAGGGTGAAGGGTCCTGTGGTTCTAGCACCCTGTCCTAGGATGACAACACAGCTTTGCAATAGATACAGTGCACTGATTGATCGTTGTCACCCTAGGACAGGAAGCATGTTAGAACTAAAGAATGCCATCCACCCCCTGTTACAGAAATGAGGAGAGGGGGAAGGGTCCTGCAGTTCTAGCACACTCTTCTGTCCTAGGGTGACAACACTGCTTCTCAATAGATACAGTGCACTGGTTGATCGTTGTCACCTTAGGACAGGAAGTGCGTTAGAACTAAATACCCGCAAACCCCATGTTATGGAAATTCTACAACAGACAACTAGCATTATCTGGCCTGGAGTTCTGATCTGTTCCTGTACTTGTTGACCTCTCTGCAGGTTATATAATGAAGGGCCAGTGAGAAAGCTGTATGAGGATGTGGTGACCAATGCCGCCCCCACACATCTACCATCCCCCATCCTGGCTATCCATTAACCTGGCTGATCTGTAGATCAATGCTCCCCAGCACAGTGCCGCATGATGCTGAGAAAACACGAATCCGTGTGTCCTGTCACTGCTGTGCGGTCAAAGCACACTGACAGCTGACATTCAGGAACCAATCAGCCGTCTTATGTGATCACCATCTCAGCCAGGAGTTTA